GCGCCGCTCGCGCGCGGCGCGCTCCCGCCCCGCCGCGCCGGCCACCGCCGTCAGCCGCGCCGGCGTCAGCCCGGCCTCGGCCAGCCGCCCGGCGCGGGCGCGCAGCCGGGCCCGGGCAAAGCGCGGGTCGCGGTTGCTCGGGTCCTCGACGAAGTCCAGGCCGGCGGCCCGGCAGGTGGCGACCAGCCGCGCCTTGGGCAGCGCCAGCAGCGGCCGCAGCAGCCGCAGCTCCGCATGCTCGGCCAGGCGCGGCATGCCGGCCAGGCCGTCGGGCCCGCTGCCCGCCGCGGCCCGCTGCAGCAGCGTCTCGGCCTGATCGTCGCGGTGGTGCGCCAGCGCCAGGTGCAGCAGCCCGGCCGCGCGGCAGGCTTCGGTCAGCAGGGCGTAGCGCGCCGCCCGGGCCGCCGCCTGCAGGCCGCCGCGCGCCTGGTCGGCCCGGCCGCCCGCCTGCCAGACCAGAATCCGGCTGGCGATGCCGTGGGCGGCGAGCCGGGCCGCGGTGGCCTGCGCCTCGGCCGCCGAGTCGGGGCGCAGGCGGTGGTCGACGATGAGCGCCAGCAGCCGGCCGCCCCGGGGTCGCAGCCAGCGCTGCAGCAGCCAGGCCAGGGCCAGGGAATCCGGCCCGCCGGAGACGGCGACGGCAAGCTGCGGCTGCGGCTCGAAGGGCCCGCAGGCGGCGAACAGCCGGGCCGCCTCGGCGGCGCCGACCGGCCCGTCGTCAGCAGCCGAGACGGCCCGACTCGCGCTGCGCGCGCTGCAGGATCGTGGGGGCGGCATCGGGATAGCGGCGCTGCAGCTCCGCGAAGGTGGCGCAGGCATCCTGGGTGGCCCCCAGGTTGGCCAGCGACATGCCCAGCTTCAGCAGGTTGTCCGGCGCCTTGCTGCTGTCGGGAAAGTCCTGGTAGCCCTCGGCGAAAACCACCGCCGAAGTCTCGTAGTCGCCGCGCACATAGTGGGTCTCGCCCAGCCAGTACTTGGCGTTGCCGGCCAGGTCGCTGTCCGGATAGAGTTCGAGGTACTGGCTGAAGGCCGCCTCGGCCGCCGGATAGTCCATGCGGCGCAGCAGGTCGAAGGCGGTGTCGTAGGCGGCCTGGGGGTCGCCTTCGGGCAGCTCCGGCGTCGGCGCCAGGGCCTGCTGCCGATCCTGGCCCGGCTGCCCGCCCTGGGTCTGACCTCCCCGGGCCTGACCGCCCTGCTGGCCGCCGGCCGTGCCCTGGTCCGGAATCGTGCCCAGCGAGCGCGGCTGCAGCGGCCCCGGCTGACCGCCGCCGTCGGCGCCGGCGACCTGCCCTCCGCTCGTCCCGCGGCCGGACGCGGTCTCGCCCTGGGTGTCACCGGGCGGCGTATAGGTGGCGCTGGGCGTCTCGGCCGGCGCCGGCTGGCCCTGCTCGAGCCGCAACAGACGCGCCTTGGTCTCCGATTCGAAGCGGTCGAGCCGCTGCTGCTGCTGGCGGATGCGGAAGTCCAGGTCCTCCAGCCGGCCGGTCAGGCCACGCAGCTCCCGCTCGAGGCCGGACAGGCGCCGCTCGAACTCCGCCGCCTGCGCGGTCGTCAGCCCGCTCGCCTGGGCGAGCTGGGTTTGCAGCGCCCGGCGGTCGCGGCCGGCGGCGGCGGCCTGCGCCTGCAGCTCGGTCAGCTCCTGCATCGGGGGCGCGGCGGTCTCGGCCTGGGCCGGCGCGGCAAGCAGCAGAAGAGCGGCCAGCGGCGCACACAGTCCCAGGGCCGGTCGCGCGCGGCGGGCAGTGGAGGACGGAATCGACATGGCGAGACGGCGCTCCCGGGTTGGTCGTCTCAGACGGCGCGGGCGGACCCTACCTGGCCCGCTGTCCGGAGGGCTCGACACAACAGCCTGCCCCGGCGGCCGCCCGGTATCAAGGCACGGCGATCTTGGCCAAATTGGGGCCGAGACCGCGGCGGTGGCCGCCGCGAAAGCCCCCCAGAGACACGAAGCGCCCGTCGCCGGCAGGCAGCGACGGGCGACTTCGCGAGCTCAGGTGCGGCGGGTCGCAAACACCGCGCCCGCCACCGGACCTCAGCCCGGCACGAAGACCGAGCGGCGGTTCTGCGCCCAGGCGGCCTCGTTGGAGCCGAGCACGGCCGGCCGCTCCTTGCCGTAGCTGATGGTGCCCAGGCGGCTCGGCGCGACGCCCAGGGCGATCAGGTACTGGCGCACCGAGTTGGCGCGGCGCTCGCCCAGCGCCAGGTTGTACTCGCGGGTGCCGCGCTCGTCGGCATGGCCCTCGATGGTCAGGCTGACGTTCGGGTTGCGCTGCAGCCAGGCGGCCAGCTTGTCGACGGTGTTGCGCGCCTCGGGGCTCAGCTCGGAGGAGTCGAAGGCGAAGAACACGCGGTCGCCGACCTGCTGGACCAGCTCCTCGCGCGAGCCCGGCTCGACCGCGGTGGTCGGCGCGGCCTGCGTCGAGGTCGTGGACGAAGCCCCGGTCTGCGGACCAGCCTGCTCTTCGGGCGCGCTTTCGCAAGCAGTCAGCGCCAGCGCCGCCGCTGCGATCAGAACGAACTTCAGCTTCATGATGGTAACAGTCCCCTTGTGTGATGTTCGGGTTGCACGATCTCGGCCCGAACGGCTGGTTCTCTGCTGCTCGCCGACGGCTTGCCTTGGGTCGAACGCACGTGGGTCGAATTCAGGCTGGACCCCGCCCCCCAACGCCGATCCGCACGATTCCGCGTCGTTGCGCCGCAATATATCGAGGGCGTTCTCACGGAATCAAGGGCGACCAGGCCGGATCCGAGGCATCGAGCGGCGTGATTACCTCCCGCTCGTTGAAGCCGGTCAGGTCGATCGTGTAGAGCCGGCTGCGCTGCTGGCCCTGGGAGGTCGCCCGCTCGGTCCGGTAGAAGGACAGCACCCGCCCGTTGGGCGCCCAGGTCGGGCTCTCCACCAGGAAGCCGCTGGCCAGCATCCGCTCGCCGGTGCCGTCGGGCTTCATCACGCCGATGTAGAAGCTGCCCTGGTGCATGCGGGTGAAGGCGATCAGGTCGCCGCGCGGCGACCAGACGGGCGTCGCGTAGCGCCCCTCGCCATAGGAGATGCGGCGGACGTTGGAGCCGTCGGCCTCCATCACGTAGAGCTGCTGCGCCCCGCCCCGGTCGGAGTTGAACACGATCTGCGTGCCGTCGGGCGCGTAGGACGGCGAGGTGTCGATCGCCGCGCTCGAGGTGAGCTGGCGCACCTGCCGGGTCCTGAGATCCATCGTGTAGATGTCGCTGTTGCCGGATTCGGCCATCGACATGATCACCTTGTTGCCGTCGGGCGAGAACCGCGGCGCGAAGGTCATCCCGGGGAAGTCCCCCAGCACCTCCCGGCGCCCGGTCTGCAGGTCGAGCAGATACACCCGCGGCCTGTTATTCTCGTAGGACAAGTACGTGATTTCCTGGGTCGTCGGCGAGAAGCGCGGGGTCAGCACCAGGTGCGTGCCGTCGGTCAGGAACTGATGGTTGGCGCCGTCCTGGTCCATGATCGCCAGCCGCTTGTCGCGCCGGTCCTGCGGCCCGCTCTCGGCGATGTAGACGATGCGCGTATCGAAGTAGCCATCCTCGCCGGTCAGGCGCTTGTAGATCGCATCCGAGATGATGTGCGCGATGCGCCGCCAGTTGGCCGGCGTGGTGACGTAGGCCAGCCCGGTCATCTGCTGTTCGGCCAGCACGTCCCACAGCCGGAAGGAGACCCGCAGGCGGCCGTCGGGATTGGTCTCCACGCCGCCGCTCACCAGCGCCTTGGCGTTGATCAGGCGCCAGTCGGCGAAGCGCGGTCCGTTCTGCACGCTGGCCGCGTCCTGGATGAAGGCGCGCTGGTCGATCGGCTTGAACAGGCCGGAGCGGGCCAGGTTGTCGGAGATCACCTGGGCGATGTCGGCGCCGATGCGCGCCTGCTCGCCCTCGCTCGCGTTGAAGTCGGTGATCGCGATGGGCAGCGGCTCGGCGAAGCCCTTGACGATGTCGACGGTCAACTGCGCGCGCGCCGGCTGCGCCGCGGCGGCCAGCAGCACGAGCGCGATCGCCAGGAAGCCCAGGGTGGCAGCGAAGAGACCGGCGATGAACCGGGCGGCGGGCCGGTCGGAGGAGAACCGGGCGGCGAACGTACGGCGGTGACAGGTCACGGGGCTATCCTCCCAACATCTGCCGTGGGTCGAAACGAAGGCGGATGGATTTCCAGACATCGTACTGGCCTTGCGGCAGCTCCGTGTAGGGCTCGCACTCCAGCACGGCGCGCCGCGCGTTCTCGGCGGCGGCGCGGTAGAAGCGGTCGTTGCGCAGGCGCCCCTCGTCGGCGAAGTCCGGCTCGCCGATGATGTAGCCCTCGCGGGTCAGCTCGATGTCCATCACCACGACCAGCTCGTCGGCGTTGCGCGCGCCGGGATCGAAGCGCCAGCAGTAGGCCATCTTGTTCTGGATGATCTGGCCGAGCTGGTTGACCACCGCCTGGGAGGGCTGGCTGCGCCCGGCGCCGGGCCGCGCCGCCTGCTGGGTCTCGCGCGGCTGCGGCTGCGGCTCCTCGCGATTCTTCAGCACGTTGCGCAGCACCGACTGCAGCCGGTCCTGCGGCTCCTCCTGAGGCTCGGGCTCGGGCTCGGGCTCCGGTTCGGGCTGCGGGCGCTCGGCCACCTGCGGGCGGCGCTGCGGCATCGGCGGCGTGACGCCGGACATCCAGGCCTGCTCGGCCGCCTGCGGCTCCGGCTCGGCCGGCTGCGCCTCGGCCACCTGGGCCTCGGCGGCGGGCGCCGTCTCCGGCTCCGGCGGGGTCTCGGCCACCACCTCCGGCGCCTCGGGCGCGGGCACCGGCTCCGGCTGGCTCTCCGGCGCCGGGGCCGGCTCGGGGATCGGCGGCGGCGCCTCCGGGGCGGGCGCGGGCGGCGCTTCGGCGGCCTGCACCGACTCCGCCTCCGGCGCCGCCTCG